AGGGCACCTACATCTTCCCTTATCTCAACCAAACACAGACTGGTGGGAGGACACCAAACTGCAAAGCCACAGCTCCCCTTTCCCTATCTAAAACCTTGTAAACTTTATAATCGTTAATTGGTGACAGTTTCCTTCCTCTCCTCAGGGCCCAATTTCAGGTGGCATGGGAAGATTCATCAATGGAGCCCTAAACCTCCTGCTGTAGAAAAAGGTGACAACTAACTCAAGGCCAGAATGTCTGCTCCAACCCTTGTACAATTGCTCCCCTGGATGCCCCTGTTCACGACCACCACGACTTCTCTCCTTTGATCTCCCCTTTAAAAATCCTTGTTTGTGGGGGTGGCCCTGTGGCATACTGGTTAAGTGTGTGCGCTCTGCTTCGGCAGCCTGGGGTTCAGATCCCAGGCGCACACCAACGCACCGCTTGTCAAGCCATGCTGTGGCAGCATTCCATATAAAGTGGAGGATGATGGGCATGGATGTTAGCATAGGGCCAATCTTCCTCCGGAAAAAGAGGAGGTTGGTGACAGATGTTAGCTCAGTGCTAATCTTCCCCACAAAAAAAACCCAAAAAAAACCCCCATGCTTGTAACTTTTTGGGGAGTCCGGGATTACAGCATGAGCTGCCCTTTCTCCTTGCTCAGCGCTTTGCAATAAAAATTCCTACTTTCTTCCACTACACCTGGTGTCAGAGGTTGGCTTGCTGTATGATGGATGAGTGAACTCACTTCAGGTTTGATAGCAATAAGACGAGCACAGAATATCCAAGTAGGACCAATAAGAAGGGAATCTTGGATAAATGACTCTACAATACTCTGTTAACTTCGTTTCCCACCAGTTCTCATTGGTTTCTTCTCATAAGTGATAGATTTACAGCAGAACCCTGTGTGTAAGCTCCGTGTTTATTAAAATATGCTTTCATCCTAAATAAAACTGAATAGGTTCTAATTTCACCAAGTAGGGTTACAAGTAGCACATTCTGATGTCTTAAAAATTTTTTACCTTGAAGATATCCATAATTTTAAAAATAAAAGAAATTATTTTTGGATGCCTGAACCGAATTTATTCAATCATTCAAAAATGTTCACTGAGTACCTACCACTTGCCAGGCACTCTGTTAGATGTTGGGGATCCAGTACAGTAGGGGTATAGATCTAACACCCCCAGCAAACCACTGAAGTCAAGCATCTGAGTGGACAAACTTCAGTTAAGGGTCACCATTTTCGAAACTATCGTTTCAAACATGCTGTTTTTGTCTAGAGAGTCTATACATTATAAGAAAATTTAGCACATCAATATTTATAGGTCTTGGTTTAAGTGTTTTTCTTCCCAAGTAGACCAAAAGCTCCTTGAATAAAGTGATCGCACTGTCAAGCACTGTATGTCCATGAGTGTAGCAAGATGCTTGATCCAGCAGGTGCTAAGTGATTGTTTGGTGAGTGAATACATATCAATGCAAGCCAAACAGAGGGGTTTTTCTTTCTGTGTTTCCATGTTCCTGTGGTCGCCGTGATGGCTACTGGTTCTTGCCTAAGAGTAATGTAGATCTGGTGGTAATTTATACTGTTACACGGGGCAAACATAGGGATTCTGAAAAAGAAAGTAAAGCAACCAATGAGAAGTCAGAGAAGTGAATGAGGTGGGGAGTGGGTGAGACAGGGGAAGAGAATATTTGGGGAATATTCAAAAGGGCAAGAGAAGGACAGAGTGACAGAAAAGTGCAGGGGCAGGAGATTAGTAGTTTCATGGTTTTATTGGATGAGTGGGAAAAAAAAGCCCTACAGGTAAAGTGACTTTTCAATGCCATGACTTGTTCCATAGAAAATGAATCAGGGAAAGTGAACAGGGTGGAAGCTGGTGACAAGGAGAGAAGCTGGAGCTCAAGAGGAGAGTCAGAACTGGAAGTGGAGTGAGTCTGAGTTGGTAGTCCAGAGAACCGGAAGGGAAATTAGGTTCTGAGTAGGCTGCCCAGAGAACTGGGGGGAAAATGAGAGTTGGAATAAGTAGTCCAGGGTTTAAGGAGGGAGTAGATTTTCTTTGTTGCAGACAGTGATTAAAGGACAGATTTTTCTATTAGTAAGAGAAGGAAGACAGAATAGAGGTCTTGTGGGGTAGATTTGTTTAGAACAGAAATCAAAGACCAACTTTTCTGAGAGAAAGTAACATTTGCAAATGAAATGCTGTTTCTGCAACTTCCAATGCTAGCAGTTCTCCTCCCAGGTGGTGACAATAAAGACGGTAAGAACTCTGGCAACTGCCCAGTTGGGTGCAAGAGGGTCTATGTGTGTGTGTGTGTGTGTGTGAGTGTGTATGTGTATGTGTTTTTGTATGAGTGTATGTGGTGGGTTTTCCCCAGCATAAACCTGGAAGGTGAGAGTGTCAGCCTCATTCCATTCTGAGTGTCCCTGACAGGTCCCTGTGATCTTCTGAAGGCTGAATAGAAAGCACGGGGCCCTGGTGCAGGCAAATGTCTCTTGAGGTAACTACGGCTCTCCTTTCCTTCAGATTCTGAGTTTCCCCTCTCTGGTAGTTTTCTTTCTCCTTTCTCTCTCCTTCTCAATATCAGTTTTTGTCCTCATTGTATCTGTTCTTTTGCCATAGAATTCCAGGGGACAGTCTCCATTCAAATCATCCAGATCTCATCCTTTTACAATCGTTCCTGGGTACAAACTCTGGGCTCAGGTTGGTTGGGTGAGTTGCAGACTCATTGGTGGGGGAGCAACTCTGGCACTATCTTTTTCCTGTGGCCCTGGCCCAAGGGCAACTTCAGCAGTGAAGAGTGGATGGAACTGGAAAAGCTATTCCATATGTCCTCCATTGGAAATCTTCAGGCATTTCATGACCATGCCAGTCAACGGCAGCTTGAATGTGAGTTCAGTTCCCTCCATAGAGTTTGGAGGTATGGGTGGGAGGTGTGTGTGTGTCTCAGTGAATCTCTTATTGTTCTGGAAAACAGCTTCCCCTCACTTCTGAAACTTACCTCTCTCCATTATAAAACTGCAATTAAATACTTTTGGGCAGAGAGTATAATGCAGATCCCGATATTTCGAAAGCTTCTAATCTGCCGCTGCTTACAAACTTCTCTCACTGACTGCAGGATTGTGCCTTATTATCTTCCATTAGTGGTATCTTGTGACAACCCCTTTCCCTGGTTTCCAACCAGATACCCTCAGCTTCCTCACTCTTTGATTGACTCCTTAAAGTGTGATTTTTTCCCCCATTCCATCTCTTCAGCAATCTCTGTTGATATATTCATTATAAGCTATTGCATTCTGTTCACCCTAGATTATCATAATGTCAACTCTCTCACTCTAAGTCCTGCCTTATTCTCCGACCACATCATTCATGTTGCCTTCTTTGAACAATTTGGCCCTTCCTTATGTCATTCGTCTCCTCCTCTATCTCCAACTAGCAACAATTCCCCTTTTTCTGAAGCTCTGCTGAAACCAAACTTTGCTCCATTCCCTCAAATCTCCTACACTTCCCCCTTCTGCTTCTATCATCTTTTGCTTCCTCTCATTTCATTTTATCTTTTGTACTCCTTTTTCATTAATTCACAACCCCTCTTCCCCAGAACCCTTTGAGGTACAGATTACAGCAGGTTGTGAGCTGCACTTCAGGGAAGCCTCAGTAGGCTTCATGCAGGTTGCTTATGAAGGATCAGATTTCTTCAGCTTCCAGAACATCGGGGTTGCCATCTCCAAAGGGTGGAAGTAGGGCTCAGCATGTCTTCAGACTATTCAATTTGGATAAAGTCAGCCTGGAAATAACAGAGGTTCCTCAGTGACACCTGCCCACATCTCATCTTGAGTCTTCTTGATGCAGGGAAGGCAGATCTCCAGTGACAAGGTCAGTCCTGCACCCTTCCCCCAAGACTTCTCTATTCTAAAATCACACATTTCCATTCATCCCCTTCCTAAGAAGGAGCCAAGAGGGAGAGGGAATCATAGGTGACAGATTCCTAGAGTTGGTAGAGATGTGTCTATCTAAACTGATGTGAAGATCTGAACCTCTAAGTCTGTGTTAGAGTCTTCATCTGAATACCTTTCCTGTCCTCTCCAGTAAAGCCAGAGGCCTGGCTGTCCACTGGCCACAGTCCTGGTCTTGGCCATCTGAAGCTGGTTTGTCACATGTCTGGCTTCTACCCAAAACCAATTTGGGTGATGTTGATGCAGGGCGAGCAGGAGCATGCAGGCACTCAGCGAAGTGACATCTTGCCCAATGCTGATGGGACATGGTATCTTTTGGTGTCCTTGGATTTTGAAGCCACTGAGGCAGCTGGCCTGTCTTGCCGCATGAGACACAGTAGTCTAGGAGGCCAGTATATCATCCTTTACTGGGGTAAAAAAGAACTGGGGCCCAAGCTGGGAATGGGCGTAGCTGGTCTTCAAGCAGAACAGGAGAACTAGATTAAAAATTTGGGGAGCTGGCTCCGTGGCTTAGTGGTTAAGTGCGCACACTCTACTACTGGCAGATCCCGGGCATGCACCGAGGCACTGCTTGTCTGGCCATGCTGAGGTGGCGTCCCACATACAGCAACTAGAAGGATGTGCAGTTATGACATACAACTATCTACTGGGGCTTTGGGGAGAAAAAGGAGGAGGATTGGCAATAGATGTTAGCTCAGGGCCGGTCTTCCTCAGCAAAAAGAGGAGGATTGGCATGGATGTTAGCTCAGGGCTGATCTTCCTCACACACACACAAAATAAGTAAATAATAGATAAACCTTTAAAAAAAAATTGGGATTCTAGGGGATTCAGACCCAAAAGAAAGAAAAGTAAGTTACCCAAGAAATAAAAAAGTAGAAAATGAGGGACGTGCAAATGTAGGAGGGTGTTGAGGGTTAGATGAAGGATTCATCTCTGAAAAGGGATGAAAGAAGAAATAGGAAGAAAAGAGATTGGTGAGGCAGACACTCAAATGAAAAAAGGAAGACCAGGGAAATGCAGTAAAATGGGGTGGATTTGAAATGACTCCCTTGTGTTCACTCAAATCCACAGAACATCACAGCTCCATGGGCTTGACATTCTTGGCAGTGAGAGTGCCCCTGGTACTTCTGACAGCTCTTGCATTTTGGTTTAGGAAGCGCTGGTGAGTTCTTTGTATCCATCCTTCCTGCTCTTTGCCCCACTCCCCACTTCTCTTTCCGTCTTTTTTGTTTTCTCTCTCCTCAGTTTTCCTCCACCCAGTCCCCTTCCTTCTTCCTCTTCACTTCTCACCTCCACCTCATGCACAGTGACTTCCATATCTGTTGTTGACAGGACACACTGTGAACATCCAAGCAGTATTCTCCCTTTAGAATGAGATCCCAGCAGCCCAGGGGCTCAGGATGTATCTAAACCTGACACAGATATGACATCCACTCAACTCTTCCTCTACAACATTTTTTGTTGTTGTTCACTTCTGCTTAATGATCAGTTGTTAATATAAGCTAGATGCAATTTTGCAGGATTTCTTGTTCTGACCTGAGTTCTGGGACTTTAGAAGTCAAATTTTAACTCTGAGTAGATTAGGGTACTAGCAACCTCCACATAGTCATATTTTAATGGGTTTTAAGGTCCGTTTCAGATATCACTTCCTCCAGAGGACCTTCCCTGATTCACAAGCGGAACCCTCAGTACACTTGAACTGTACTTTGCCAAATCTACTGCTTACTTCCTGCCCTTTATTGCAGCTGTTTGGATCCCTCTTCCCTTTATAACTTTAAGCTTTTTGAGAGCAAAGTCCACATCTTTTTAATATTTGTATCCTTAACTAAGTGTCTTACCTCATGTAGTATATTGTCAATAAAAATCTGTGTTGAACTTACGGTAAATTTCTAGTCTTTTCTTATTCTTTTCCTTCCTGACATGTTTGTAGTAGTTGAGATATTTGATGCTCTTCTTGTTAAAAGTCTTCTCACTTGGCCAAGAGACTCACAATTTCCTAGTTCCTTAGTGACTCCTCTCAGCCTCTAAGGAGAAGCACGATGTTGTCACTGACCATTCTTATTATTTAACTATAGAGACCTATTGGAGTGAAATTATTGCTTCAAGTATTCTAAACAAAAAGAAGGAGGCAGAATGTAGTCCCTTGCTATTCAGTGTGGTTCAGGGACACGCAGCAGAGTTATCATTTTGGAGCTACTTAGAAATATAGAATCTTGGATCTCAGAGTTACTGAATCATAATTTGCATTTATCAAAATCTGCAGGGGATTCAAGGGTGCATTAAAATTTGAGAAGCACTGATATAGGTGACGCCTGAGAGGTAGTAGAGCAAGTGTGTCACTGAAGAGAAAAGAAGATGGTCAATAAATAAGAACAAGGGGTTGGCCCCATGGCATAGTGGTTAAGTTCAGTGCACTCTGCTTCAGTGGCCTGCATTTGTGGGTTTGGATCCCTGGCACAGACCTACACCACTTGTCAGCTATATTGTGGTGGCAACCCACATACAAAATAGAGGAAGATTGGCACACATATTAGCTCATGGTTAAGCTTCCTCAAGCAAAAAAAGAGGAGGATTGGCAAAGGATGTTAGCTCACGCTGAATCTTCCTCAGCAAAAAAGAGAAGAGAACGAGTGTTGATCCTCAGGATTGAAATGAGATCAAGGTAAGGAGAATACATCCAGTACGGTCTTGCTATTCACAGCCTTTGTGTTCAAGTCACTGTGAACACTGAGTTAGTGAATATTGAGCCATTGCTCCTGTGGGAAATACAGGGTTAGCTTGCTGTGAGCCTCTGGTCACAGCATTTGTGTCAACTGATGAATATATAGCTTTGTTTTATGTGTGTTTCTGTTTAAAGACACTTTATTTAATATATACATTTGCAGATAATTTATATATTTTACACAGTATTTCTTTCTAATAAAAGATCAGCCAAAAAGTGTTTAATATTTTCCCCACCCTGGGTAACGTGATGGTAAATTTCTTGGGCTTTCAGTCACGCAGCTGTGCTGTCCACTATGTTTCTAAAAACAAATAAACAAACAAAAAGCAGTTGTCATTTCATGAATTTACAAATCTAGCTCCTTTTCCGTCTTTCCACAGCTTCACCGTAGCATTATAGATATGACTTTAGCACTCCCTGGACTGGCTCCACATACAGATCAGTGAATTTCCTCTTCCTTTTTCTAGGATTCCTGCGTTGTTGATTCATTAACACTGAACTCATGGCTCACAACCCTATAACTCATGCATGAGCGAAGCTTATCTGCACGTGCATCTTCTCCATAAGGCATATCACAGCCTTCTTTGCTCAGGAACACAAGACAGAATTTCAGCACTATGCTTCAGGGCCATTTTAAATAGCAAAATCCCTCAACCAGGAGCACAAAAATGCACAAAATGTGGCACTAAATAGACTGTGAAAAGGACACTTATTTAGAGTGTGAGAACTGAAACAAAGAAGACAGAGCACCACATTGTTTAACCTGAGTTTGAAATGTGTGAGGAGGGTTACAAATTTTGCACCACTCTGCACATGTCTATAAATGACTGTTAAAGTGCTGTGAGTATTGATTTAGGGGTTAGAAATAAATTTTAACAGGTAGGCTAATTAGCAAATACAGTATTTGTGACTAATGGAGATCGACTCTTTACGATTAATGACTCCGAATGGCAATGTCAGTGGAGATATATATGACTAGACAGCAACTACTCTAGCATTCATTAATTAATTAACAGATAATTCTTAAGCACTTACTATGCAGAGGGACATATTGAGTATAAAGTAGTGAGGAAGAGAAAGACCATCGTTTTCTTTCTGAGCCTGAAAATTTTGCCTTTCTATTTTGATTTTACATTTATTGTTTTTTCTCGTTTGTTGTTTCTATCTTAGTTTCATAGTACAGCAATTTATTTGGGTTGAACTAGTGGAAAAAGATTTAACTCTAATTTGTTTAGGGAGCTGAGAATGGGGGCCCAGGTCAAGGAGAATGTCCAGAGGGACCTAGGGCAGGTTGCAGCTGCTGCACACGTGTAAAGTTTTGGAAAATAAAGTTGATATGGGAAAGGGGGAAAAGGTGAAAAATACAAGATTGGGGAAAGCAAACGGTGGGATCTCTGCAATCTTGCTACCTGGATTAGACTGGTTGATTGCTTCTCTAGGCTCCAATCTACATTTTCACTCTCACAAATGAAGACAAGATTTCATTTTTCACCATGAAATTGGCAAAATCAGAAAGCTGCAGAAGCCAGTGTTTGCAGAAATGTGGAATAGGTGGCTATTCCCATGCATTATTGGTGGTGAAGAAATTCTGGAGAGTTTGCAGCAGTATCTTGTCTAATGATGTGCATGTTGACCCTGTAGTCCCACTTCTGAATATGCATAATAGAAAATATTTACCCAGGTCCAGAGGGAACATATATAAAGATATCTATCACAGCATTTTTATGGTACTGAGGTGTTGGAAGCACGCTAGATGTTCATCCCTATGGCAACACATAAGTAAAAGCACTAGATGCATACTATGGGGTTCTGTGCAGCAGGTATAAACAACAGACTAGACACAGAGCAGTACGGCAGGTCTTTAAAATGGTGCTGAATTAAATACATTAATAGATTAAGAATACAGTATAATACCTTTTGTGGAAATTAAAATTGTACATCTCAAACACCACCCTCGTATAAGATTCATGTGAGTTTTGGTCGGTGGATTCCATCCTCATCTGTAGTCCTGGACTCTGATCAGCCTAAGGCTATCATGAGAAAGCATCCTTGATAATGTGATAGGTAAAGGATGGACAGGTAACTTATAATTTAAGCCAAATCATGGTATAGATTGCATTTATCCTTGCTCAGAGTGATGGCTCAGGGCTAGGCACCTGCTCTTAGGTGGCACAGTTTATATGAAGCCTGATTCTTGTATTTGAATGTAGGGGAAAGCAATGTTCTCCCTTGTCCTGCATGCAGAACATTTTTTAGGAAGTGCTCTCAGGAACAACACCTGTAAAAGAGAGAGGGAGGCAGTACCGAGCAGAGGGAGATGTTGAAGTGTGATGCAGTTGCAGCAGAGGATTTAATCAAGCTCACAGAGAATTCTGGAGCTAGGATGACCCTTCAGAGATTTCCTAAAACAGGTAATGGGACTGTACCTTTTTACTCCCACATTTCATGTGTGCTCTCGCCAGGGAAGGAACATTCTCTTGGACAAAGCATCTCTCTTCAACTGAAGACAATTCCTGGAGAGAGACCTATCTGTGAGTAGTCAGCAGCTAATACCCCCCTAAGCTGCAAGAATGAGCATATTTGTCCTGAAGAGGGTATATTGGTGACTGGCCGCAGTATCCACTAGAGCAAGAGTGTGCTCTTATGGAAGTAGAGATTTACCTGCTGGGCCTTAAATAAATGCACAGGCCTCACCAACAATATCAGAAAACACAGACCACAAGGCCAAAGCACATCTTAGGCAATTTGCCTGAGATTCTATAAGCACTGACTTTCAACTAGGCTTCCTCAGCAGGAATGGCTGAGGTAAAGATTCTGTTAAAGGAATCAAGGAGCTGTTAGAAGTGGATTATTTTAAAACGCTAGGCATAAAAACAAGTAGTGCTAGTTTTGCCTTGGCTTTCAGTCTAGACGAGGCGTGCAGCCTAGATGAGATGCCCCAAATCTGGTTCCCCTCCTATATTACTTTGAACTGAATTCCTGGTCAAGAAGGAGACCTGTGAAGAAACTAACTTTGAATTCATGAGGCTTGTACACAGGCTCAAGAGTCACCTCCCACTATATAGTCATAATTTGTCTATATCAGCTCTGTTATTGCCTAGATTTGTGAGACACAAATTGTGACTTCACTCATGGAAGGATAGTAAGTTTCATTAATAAACAGTTAAAAAAGAAACAGAAGTCCTTATGCTTCTCAAAATGGTAGATTACCTAATTTGGACCAACTCTCATGTCAAGGACAACTAGAAAAAGCAAGACAAATATCAAATATAATTTGCCTCAAGGCATTGAACAACCAACAAAGGAGAGATGAATTCCTGGGTCAATATCTGGGAAAACACAGAAACTCACAGAGGTGAGCTCTGTATTAGGGGCTGCTTTTCCCCCAGGAGCATCTGCTGATTCCTTGAGAGGCAGCTAAAGGGACTGAGAAGCTAAGCAAAGCTTTCAGCAGACTCGTAAATCTTCAAAGATAACATTGGAGCCTCAATTTTGGGTTGCATCCTTAAAGGGCTGCATCCTAGGAGTACATGTAAAGCAGAAGGAGAATAACCTTTGCAGAGACTTTAACTAAGTTTCAAATTATCTTAGTCTCTGCAGTTAATAAGGTAACTTTGTATTTTGAATGCTCCTATATGATTCTGAAGGAAAATAACATCTTAAGCCCCAAATCATTTCTATATTTTTAAACGTAAATAATACCCCAAAATAAAAACAAAGACAAAAACAAAACAAAACACCACGCAGAAACATAAAGAGAAAAGGTAAAATGAACAAATTTTATAAAAAAACGACAGCAGAGAGCAGACACAGATTTACCAGGGTCCTACGTAACTAGTTATTAGGAACAGACTTTAAAATAAGTAAGCTTAACATTATCAAGGAGATAAAAACAAGATGGAGAATTTTGGCAAAGAAATGGAAGCTATAATGAAAAAATAAATGGA